CTCTCTCTGCCCCTCCCCTGTTCTCTCTCTCTCTGTCTCTCTCTCTCTCTCTCTCTCTTTCTCAAAAATGAGTAAACATTAAAAAAATAAAATAAAATAAAAGATTTTGTTGAGTGGGGCTGAACTTTGGAGGGCCACATGCTATTGTAATAACTTAAGGTTTTTTTTAAGCCCCAGAGAACCAATTGTGGCCCCTCTGGGAACAATTCTCTGTTGAGAATGCCTTAGAGATACCAGAACAACTCCATAAAAACTAAACCAATGGGAATGTAGTATTTAATAGGCAACATTCTTCACCAGTAAAAGAATGGGTTTTCTACGTGCCCTGTGGCTTTAATATGCATATACGTGTTAGTATAGGTGAAAACCAACAAAAACAGTACTTAGAAAATTAAAAAAAAAAAAAAATCAAGCCGAGGCTGCAGGATTTCTCAAGTTCTTAGTTTTGACTTGTTAAAAAGATACTGAAAAGAAAATAAAAGGAAAAACCCAAGAAGGTTAGTTGTAAGTGCAGGGAAAAGAGAGGCTGTCACAGGAGAGGCAGAAGGTCACATCCTTCTTTGGACCCTTTAGTCCAAAGCTTCAGAATCAGGCAGAGCTGGATCAAGCAGCCCTACAAATGTGTACTAAAATCCTTTGTGTGGCTATGGATAAGTCACTACACCTCTCTGAGCCTTGGTTCCCCCATGTCCTGAATGACAATGAGCAGAAAAGTGCACAGCCATGCCTGGCACATCATAACTGCATCTGAATTCATGAACGCTTGCTAGAATCAATGCATACCATAAAACGAGTAAGCTACAGAACCAGAATTCGAATCCAAGTCTCTCGGCTCAATTTTGCTAGCCCAGAGTGCCTCCAAACACCTTAAATTTCTTTGCCACTTTGAAAAGGAAGGGGATGGCACAAAAATAGACACATAGACTAATGGAATAGAATAGAAACCCCAGAACTAGACCCACAAACGTATGGCCAACTCATCTTTGACAAAGCAGGAAAGAACATCCAATGGAAAAAAGACAGTCTCTTTAACAAATGGTGCTGGGAGAACTGGACAGCAACATGCAGAAGGTTGAAACTAGACCACTTTCTCACACCATTCACACAAATAAACTCAAAATGGATAAAGGACCTGAATGTGAGACAGGAAACCATCAAAACCCTAGAGGAGAAAGCAGGAAAAGACCTCTCTGACCTCAGCCGTAGCAATCTCTTACTTGACACATCCCCAAAGGCAAGGGAATTAAAAGCAAAAGTGAATTACTGGGACCTTATGAAGATAAAAAGCTTCTGCACAGCAAAGGAAACAACCAACAAAACTAAAAGGCAACCAACGGAATGGGAAAAGATATTTGCAAATGACATATCGGACAAAGGGCTAGTATCCAAAATCTATAAAGAGCTCACCAAACTCCACACCCGAAAAGCAAATAACCCAGTGAAGAAATGGGCAGTAAACATGAACAGACACTTCTCTAAAGAAGACATCCGGATGGCCAACAGGCACATGAAAAGATGTTCAGCGTCACTCCTCATCAGGGAAATACAAATCAAAACCACACTCAGGTATCACCTCACGCCAGTCAGAGTGGCCAAAATGAACAAATCAGGAGACTATAGATGCTGGAGAGGATGTGGAGAAACGGGAACCCTCTTGCACTGTTGGTGGGAATGCAAGTTGGTGCAGCCGCTCTGGAAAGCAGTGTGGAGGTTCCTCAGAAAATTAAAAATAGACCTACCCTATGACCCAGCAATAGCACTGCTAGGAATTTATCCAAGGGACACAGGAGTACTGATGCATAGGGGCACTTGTACCCCAATGTTCATAGCAGCACTCTCAACAATAGCCAAATTATGGAAAGAGCCTAAATGTCCATCAACTGATGAATGGATAAAGAAATTGTGGTTTATATACATTATGGAATACTACATGGCAATGAGAAAAAATGAAATATGGCCTTTTGTAGCAACGTGGATGGAACTGGAGAGTGTGATGCTAAGTGAAATAAGCCATACAGAGAAAGACAGATACCATATGGTTTCACTCTTATGTGGATCCTGAGAAACTTAACAGGAACCCATGGGGGAGGGGAAGGAAAAAAAAAAAAAGAGGTTAGAGTGGGAGAGAGCCAAAGCATAAGAGACTGTTGAGAACTGAGAGCAAACTGAGGGTTGATGGGGGGTGGGAGGGAGGAGAGGGTGGGTGATGGGTATTGAGGAGGGCACCTTTTGGGATGAGCACTGGGTGTTGTATGGAAACCAATTTGACAATAAATTTCATATATAAATAAAAAAAAAAAAAGAAAAAGAAAAGGAAGGGGAGCATGCATCCCTCCTCCAGTCTCATCAAAACTGAAACCAAGTTGCTCACGCTAAGATACCACTGCCACCTGGTGGCAGCATACCTAAATTATTGGAGTGGGGGCAACTGCCAAAGGAGGAAAACTGCCAGGGTCTTCTACACACCTAAGTCACAAGCGAATACTTATACAGGTAGAACAAACGTCCCCATCAACCACTTCACGAACGGGCTGCACACTGCCCGGCATTTACCAGTTCCTTGAAACTCTGACTTGGGTTTCCTGGACGCTTTTGGGGTTTGTTTGTTTTTGTTTTTGTTTTTAATTTAACAACCACAAAGAAACCAAACACCACTAACATTGAGTGCAGACATCCAGGTTTTCCTGGAAACTGCTAGAAGCTCAGGGGTCCCCACTTTTGTACTTGCTCAATCAATGGCCTAAATCCCACATGTAATCCTTCATGTTTAAATTTCACGTTTCGGGCGCCTGGGTGGCGCAGTCGGTTAAGCGTCCGACTTCAGCCAGGTCAAGATCTCGCGGTCCGTGAGTTCGAGCCCCGCGTCGGGCTCTGGGCTGATGGCTCAGAGCCTGGAGCCTGTTTCCGATTCTGTGTCTCCCTCTCTCTCTGCCCCTCCCCCGTTCATGCTCTGTCTCTCTCTGTCCCAAAAATAAATGTTGAAAAAAAATTAAAAAAAAAAAAATAAACTTCACGTTTCAAGATTGTCACTTTCCGATCATCTTTCTAAGCCAGTCAGTGTCCCGAAATTCAGCTTTCTATGCCCACCTTCTTAGTTAGCCCTCGTAGCTGCACACTACTCACGAATTCCCCGAGCGCTGCCTCTCAGGTGTTCCCATAGGCCGCAGACGACAGTTAAAGAAAATGCAGACTGGGACAAGGCAGGAAGCAGAGCTCTGTGGACTACCACTAAAAACAGCCAGCCGCTCCCTTGACATTGATCTTGGCCACCTTTGCAATGAGGCATTTTCCCAACCTGTCCAGGGGGCAGTTTGTCTCCAAGTGCTTCCTGCCCCTTCCTGAGCTAGGACAAAACAAGGCAATCACCTACTGAGTTTTCCGCTCACATGGAAAACACATACAGAGAACAGAATGGGGCAGAGGCCAGGCAGCCGTTGTGTGTGGCAGTGAAATGGCCTCTTCCTTCAGGTAGGCCCCCTGACCACACTACCCCTGTTATCTTCCCTGCCCCTGGAATGCTCTGGCATTCAACTCCCACATGGCCCCCTGCAGGTCCTGACGTAAGCCCTGCCTGTCTTGGGACACGCGGGGCCGCAGAGAGCCAGGCCCCAGGGACGCGGGGTAATCTCGCTGGGGAAACGGAGGTCTCAGCAGCACCTGCCGACTCTGTGAGCAGGAATGTGCCACTCTGCCTTCCTAGCCGCAGTCTGCTGCCTTCTGCCTACGTTCGCCAAGCTGTGGGCATGAGAGAGACCTAGGGGAGAACCCCGCCTCTAGCCCTGACCAGCTATGGGAGTGGGGCCAGCCTGGCCTCACCTTCCCCATCCATAAAATGGGAGCAGCGATGGGAATCAGCCTTATAAGGCTGTGGCAAGGGTGAAATGGTCACGAGGAGCCTAGCACACAGTAGGTGCTCAATAAATTCTCGTCCCTTCCCTCCCTTGGAGACTTGCATTGAGTTTCCAAGACTGTCACACAGCACAAGGCAAGTGGCCCTGCAGCTGTCAGCGGGGAGAGGAGGGGGGTGACCCTCTTTAGGGCCAGGAATGTAATTCTGCAGGGTGGTATTTCCGTCCTTGGTCCGGCTGTGATGAGCGTCCCTCTAGAGGCACGGGAGGAATTCCGAGTGTCCCCTCGGTCATCCCAACATGGCACGAGGCCTTAAACTCTGCACAGGGCCGGCCACTCATCCTCAGCGGCTCCCCGGCTCACTGTGAACACGACAGCTCAGGACGTGCCCCGGTCATCGCGGTCCTACCCTGCTGGCTCTGTGAGGCCACAGGACTGTCACGGCTTGTTCTAAACTAAAATTATCAGAAGGCGCGAGAGCCAGGGAGGCGGGGTGTTAAGTAAGGCGCTGACTGCATGTTCCACACGGGGGAGCACAACGGGGATTCCCCGGGGGGCTGGGAGGACCTTTCTCAGCAGATCTGGCCCCTGGGTCTCGAAAGTGACGAGCAGAGGACTGATTTCCTTATGTGCTAAAAGACTCTGGACCATCCTATGCAGAGCTCGAACCAGAAAACCGGGCCAAAGAACCAGGTAACGGACAGGAAGTGAAGAGCGGGGAGAATGGCTGGGTGGTGGACTCCCTGGAATACTTACATTTGGAGCAACCTTCCGAAGTTACTCTGAACCCAGAGCCCTGAGACCCTGAGCCTGCCTCACCCAGCCCCTCAGGCGGGCCCCTGTTCTGAAAGCAAGCCCTTCTATGGTCCTTTTGGAAGCAGGCCCAACGCTCTAAAGCTCCTGAGCAAAGTCAATGGCCAACGGGGCAGGAATGCCTTTTCGGCACTGCAGGGAGAAAGCCACCGGACGTCAGAGGGAGAAGGGGGAGAGGCTTTCGTGCACTGGAGGGATGCTCCCGGGCTGAGCTGTCTGGAAGGCAGGAGGCGTCTGCCCTCACGCCTCCGGGTAACAGACGAGGTTTGATTTGAGCCGGCAGGAGGCTGCCTGAGACGAGGCGGCCGCCCGAAAGCAGCCACCGAGTCAGGACTTACCTTCCACTGCAGCGAATGGAACCACTGGTCTCTCAGGTAGCTGTTGGCAGCCTGCAACGACAAGAACAGGACAGCAAGGTCCGGTCACCGGCTTGCAGCATGTCAGGGCACTACTGCGCAGGCCCCAGGTTGCCCCGTCCAGCAGGGTCTGCCCTGCGGCCCGAGCACAGGGACCCACCCAGCTGAACCTTTCGGGCGCAAAAACCGAAACAGAAGTGGCAACCGGGGGGACTTTTCTGAAATGAGTCATCACTGCCGCTGCGTGCTTACAATTTGCTGGGTATAAGTGACTCCAGACACTGGCTGCTTGAAGAGCTTTCACTGCACACGTACCTTGACTTCATTAGGATCACGGGAAGGGCCGGGGCGAGCGGAGAGAGGCACGGTGGTAGGAGCAGATCGGGTGCCTCCTTTCCACCAGGCACTGCTCCAGGCACCTGGCGCCTGTTATTCACGTGTTCTGTCATCAGCCCTCACAACAGCCCTGTGAGGTGACTAACGCTACGCCCATTTCACAGGGGGAGAAACTGAGTCTCTGATGTCTCACATCAACTAAGGACATTCAAACCCAGGCAGGCTGGCTTCAGAGCCTGTGGGTTTATGAACCTCTTGCCAACCGCAGAAAGTCATGGGAGAGAGCGCCTGGCCTTGAACTCAGGTGGACTCGAGTTAAAAATCACTGTGCAGGGAGCAAAATCTTCCCAGAGGTGCACCACCCTAGTTCGCAGACCTTGGCAACTGGGCCTGGATTTTCTTCTCCGTAAAACGGGGCCACTAACCCTATCTTGCAGGAATGCTGTGAGGATTGGGAAGGATTCCTGTAAGGTGCACAGAATCGGGCCTAGCACATAGTACGTGCTCACAAAGAAACACAGCCTCTGTCGTTACTGTCATCACTAATCTCTCTCAAGTGAATCGTGGCCCGAGGAAGGCCCTGCAATTGTCACGTTGCTGTGGCTCTCACCCCCGGTTCCAGCACGGCTCTGGGTGATAACAGCAATATTTATGGCTCATTTAATGTGCACCAGACACAGCGCTAAGGTCTATGCGTGGACTGGCTTGTTTGGTCCTGGCCAGTCTACCCTGGGAAGTCGGGACGGTCAGCATCGTCACCCCCTACAGTACAAACGAGGAAACTGAGGCTCGGGGAGGTTAAGAATGTTCCCACAGGCTCACAGGGAGTAGGTGTGGGACCAGGACTTGAACCCAGGCAGTCTGACTCATGCTGTAAACCACAAAGTTTCTGGCATTCCAAGTTTTCCAGTCACCATCCCTAAGGGCAGAAATGCAGTGTCTGTTCTCGCCTGACCCCGCAGCCCTCTGTTCTAAGTTGACCCTGACTTTCATGGTCCCGGGACTCTCACAAAGGCTGGAGCTTCTTTCCAAGTATGAAAGTCCAACTTCTGTTCCCAGCCTGCATGGACACACACACACACACACACACACACACACACACACACGCACAAGCGGGTACAACTTCGGGTCACCCTCTGTCAAGGGGATCCAGGTGCCCTACCCAGATCCTCGATGGGGCATCAGCTGCTCTCCTGGGGCACAGTTTGGGGAAATCTCTGGGCTTGAATAAACGAACCTGTTCTGTGGCCAGTGCGGGAGGGTAAGGGTACCAGGTCCCCGTGAGCAAACTCAGAGACTGGCAGACTGATACCAGCCTGTGGACACAAGGCAAGTTGGCATCTCTGCCCTGAGTGGGAGTGGGCCGGGGGACACCTTCCGTGTGATTCAGGGACCTCTGCAGTGGCCGAGTCTCCAAGAGACCTGGGTTCAAGTTCCCTGAAGACACAGAGCCTTTGTCACCTGACTGGGGAGGTGGTGGCCGAAGGGGAGTCTCACGGGATCAGCAGCACCCCGGAGGGTCTGTGGCTGACTCACCTCCCATCCGTGCTGACCTAGCTCTGTGGTCTTGTGACACTTCTTGTTCATTAGGATGAAAAAATACACCCCATGCTCAGGGAGAGCGACGCAAAGATCCCCGACAATGAGATAATCCACGCAAAACGCTTACTTAGCTCAGCGCCTGGCACGTGTAGACACTTTACAAACAGCACCGATCAGGATCCGTGCAGCCACGGCCTGTGGGGTGCTGATAAACGTGGAACAACAGGCTTGCAGAATAGAAAAGCCCTGATCACAGCATGTGCCACCTTCTGTGCTGTAAACGATCCCACTGTGGCTGCTTCCACGCCACAAGGAGGGAAATCCCTGGACCACAGTTGGGAAGAGACGCGTTGGATCTGCTCTCAGGGGTGGTCCCGGCCGGTGTGAGCCTACCCGGCACACGCCCAGCCCACAACCATCTCTGGGCTTTTTAACACACCCAAGTTGGCCAGAGAGAGGGGGGCAGGTGCGGGAGGCCAAATACAGGACCCCCAGAGATGGTCCACATGCTTGTCCTTGCGAAGGCCTCACCTTAGGTGGCAAATGGGCTTTGCTAAGATTTGAGGAAGTTAAGGACCTTGAAACGGGGAGGTCATTCTGTGTACTCTGGGTGAGTCAATGTCATCAGAAAGGTCCTTACAAGAGGGAGGCTGGAGGTCAGAGAGAAGAGACAGAAACAGAGGTTGGAGGGATGCGGCCACAAGCTAAGGGACACAGACAGCCTCTGAAGCTGGAAAAGGCATGGAAAGCTATTCTCCCAAGAGCTTCCGCAAGGCTCTAGCCCTGCTGACATCTTGATTTTGGCCCAGTGGGCCCCGTGCTGGACTTTTGGCCTCCAGAACTAGAAACAAACAAGTACTAAATTTGTGTTGTCTGAACCGCTAAAGGTGTGGTAATGTGTGACAGCAGCAGTAGAAAAGCGGTGTGGGAGGTATGGATAGTTAGTGCTCAGAGGGGCTGCTCTGTTGGTCCTGGGGGTGCACAGTGGGCCCGGGCAATGCCCATAAGGTGTCACTGGTTGGACTGAATGACCAAGTGAATGAGCTCCTTGAGGGCAGAGTCCTTTTTAAAAAAATTTTTTTTATTTTGAGGGAGAGCGGTGTGTGGGGGGGGAGAGAGAGAGACAGACAGTGAGTCTCTGAGAAGGAGGATCTCAAGCAGACTCCACACTCAGCACAGGGCCCGACTTAGGGCTCCATCCCATGACCCTGCGATCATGACCTGGGCCAAAATCGAGAGCCAGATGCTCAACCAACTGAGCCACCCAGGTGCCCTGAGGGCAGAGCCTTATGCCCAAATCCCCCGTGCTGATTAGCAGTCCCGGGTACCGCTGTGGGGCTGGCTGCACAAGAATGAATGAACACGCACACAAAGCAGGAGGTGAGAGAGCAGAGCAGTGGTAGGAAGCACTAGATAGTGACTCCCTTTCTGTGCCTCGGCCGCCGAATCGAACACAGACCTGGTCTCCCCGTGACCAGGCCCAGCCCTTCCCATTCTGGGAACCACCCCAGCATGCAAGCTCCTGTTGGGGATTTTTAAGGTGGGGGGGGGGCGCCCCTCCCTTGGTTGACTGTGAGGAGCAGGTGATCCAGGCCGCGTCGGTCGCGTCAGTCAGAAGCCCCTGCCCAGGACTCTGGGTCTTGAGCCAAGCAATGTGGGGATGAAGGGGTTAAGAATTCATCATGAGGCAGAGGGGTGTCTTCCGCTAAAGGGAAACCCTAGGCTGGGTGGGGCACGGGGCTACCACCTGCCTCAGCCTGTTCTCCAGGCTCCCGTCAATCCTTCCAGCATATTCCTTTTCTGCTGGAGACGGCCTGAGTCCATCTTGCCTGCTTACTTACGTCCAAGAGCCCTGACTGACCCACAAGGCACCAGTGGACACTTGTTCCTTCTCAAAAACGCATGTTCCAAAGCATTTTCTCTCCAGCTGTTCCTCCAGAAGGCGCTGGCCAGCCCCGGAGCGGCAGCCTCCCCTGCTTCCACCACGAGCCCTCCTCCCACCCCCCAGGTGGTCTGGCTCTGCCCGACCTCGACCTCCACCTCGAAGTGCCCGGCCTGCTGCTAAGCAGAGATGGCTGTGCACGTTTCTTCCCCTGCCCTGGTGCCTGGGGCCGCGTCCCCAGGTGTCCGTTGGGTCTGCTGTGTCCTGTTTGACAGCAGCCTTGCGGTCTAGAAGGGGAAGAAGGTTCCTTCAGCGACACAACCCCATCTCACCTGCCCTGCTCACCTCCCCTCTCGGCCTGACCTTTCCGGCAGAACCCCCTGCATGTTCCAAGTCCCTCCTCACGTGGGAGAGCCCCCGCGCCTGCCCACACCCAGCTTCCCAGCTGCCTCCATCATCCCGTGAGCATCTCAACTGGAGGAGGTCAGAGTCACGTTCTGGAAAGAACGCAGGTGTGGGTTCAGTGGAGCAGTTGGTGGATCCCAGCTGAAAACAGCTGTGTGACCCTGGACCACCCCGCCTGTACCGTGGACCCGGGGAGCCTGCCTCCCCAAGGCACGGGGCTGAACTGAGACGCACAGGGCAGGAACCCCGGCTGATGTCACCTACCAGGCACCGAGCAAACTGCTCTGCACACCTCACTCTGAGGAGAGGCACGGAGGCTCTGAGCAGGTGGGAGGGCCCTGCCACCCGCCTGGGAGCTGACCCAGCCCGACCCCTGACCACACCATCGCCCTCGCTGCTACAGCTTGTCTGGCACGCGCGCGCCCCTTCTCTGTCCTCCGCACCCCTCGCCCCTCCAGCACTTTGGCTGGGACCACGCTCCCCGCCCTCCTTCCCGCCACTCTCAGAGCCCCATCCCGCTCACGGGACTGGGAAAGGAGACAGAGTCCCGTCGGATTAACTGCTACCTCCCCGGTGAAGCCGGGGTCACCAAGTTCGCCGAGTGGACTCATGACACGGGGGCAAATGCTGGAGGTGCCATCCGGTTCCGTGCCTCCACTCCAGGGAGGCAGAGACAGCAGACGTCCCCCACCCCACCCGCTGGGCTCATCATTCCCCAGCGCGACCGGGAGGAGAGGTGGCCACAGCCCTCGCTGTGCCCTCTGGGCTGGCTGCACTTTGGAGGAAGACAGAGGCCGCGGCTACGTTCGTCCATCATAACAAATGAGGCTCTTTGAACTGGAGGCTCAAAGGGATTTCAAGGATCACC